CTTTCAAGGTCAATGTTGCTAGGCATTCTCTTCCCTTGATGGATCTGAACTGAACCACACATGTCAAAGACACCGGGTTCTGTACTAAAAGCAGCTGATGACCCTCTCACCCTTCACCCTGCAAGCAGCTGATGACCCTCTCACCCTGCTTACTCAGCCAGTTTAAGATAAAATCAAATAAGAGGAAGGGCCACAATGGGGCCACTGCTGCTGGCTGGCAAAAGTAAGGCCTTGAGGTGGTTCCCCTAAAGGAAAGAAGGATTTGGGATTTAAAAGATCCTATGGTCCCTTTGTTGAAGAAAAGACAGCGTTTTAAACATCAGGAAAGAGAGCACAAGCTTGGATTTAATGAACCAGAGAGTGGGCAGGACAGGTCGGGGGCAGAGCTGCACGATGTTCATGGGCACCAACACTGAAACGGCCCAAAGATTCATTTATCACCACACGTGTAAGAAATCTCTACCCTCTTCCACCAGGCACAGGGTCTAAAACACTTAGTTCTGTCTTTTCGAATTTCCAACATCTTGCATTAAGAGTAAATGGTAAATCATAGCACATGAGTAAAATAAAGAATAAGAAAATCATCAGGACAAACAGCTACCAAAAAAAAAAAAAAAAATCAAAGAAAGGCTGTGGGTTTAATTTATTTTATTACCCACGTACCTGCCAGGAAGATATCTGACTACCTGGGTTTTTGTACTTATTAGTACAACTGGCATAATGGGTTACTTTTGTGCTTAATCTCTATTGAGAAATTTTACAGATACAAGAGTAAACCATAAAATATGTATTAGTTTATAAAAATATGCCACCGTTGGGCTTGGTGGCCAGAATAAAAGTATTGCTCGGGTAAGTGCTGCTACTCTTTTAGCTCGTAACTGAGAAAACAATATTTGAAAAGCTGAGTTCCTCAGAGAAAGTTGCTACATAGATACTATTACTATTAATGATAACGATAGTATGATTTGCAAAAAGCACCCTCACATGTTTTTCATATATTGTGTGTGTTTTAAATAAGAACAGCATGTTTAAAATAAAACTTCACTCTTAATTGAAAAATAACATTTAATTTTCTACTAAGTTTAACACTGGGGACAGAGTAGAAAGCAAGGAATGAAAGGCATTCCTAGAAACTGCATTAGCAGCAAGTCTGTGTTGTTTCATTTAACTTAAGCTTCAGCAGTCAAGTCACAATCTTTGGCCAAGTTCCCTTCTTTCTGTACATTCAAAGAATCTTTATATAGCTAAATGGACCACTAAATCCTTCAAGAGTCATTCAAAGGAAGCACTTCCTCCAAATTCTTTCTCATCTCACAAGGCACATGCATGCACAACAGAAAATGCATTGAAAAGGATGCAAATCCTCATATTCCAGCTCCATGAATCCTTCCATATGCAAAACGGCATCCTCTCCAACCCACAAATGTCTTTGCTGTTATTTTCAGTATTAACAACCAGTATCTGAAAGCTGTAAGGACAACTGGGGAGACCACTAGAAAAATGGATAGAAAAAATATATACTTAACGTAAAATGGGAAAGGGAAAAAGGATTCAGCCTGATTAGAGAAGAGGAATGTGGCCCGTTTTTCTCATCAAGGTTTTTACATGTCTTTCTGTGATGCTGAACATTTTTTCCTGTTTCACCACCGCTCTATGTAACAATTTCTGGGTAGGTTCTTGTAGGTCCTCCTGCAGGGGAAAGTCATGTATGATTATGTTTTGGTTGTCAAAAAGGCCAGTTCTCTGGGAATGGCCACAAATTCAAGCTTCTGCCACTTTACAGAACAAGATGGGGTGCCAGGCAGTGAGGAGGCACACAAGGAAAATCAGCCCATGACAACAGCCAGCCTTCACATGTCGTTCACCATGGTGAGTGTGAGTGACGCAGACCAAGCTCTCTCCTTGCCAGTGACACAGCGCAGAGAGAGCCAGAGCACCCGAGGGCCACTTCCTTTACCTCCCGCCCAAAGAACAGCACTTGTTTGCAAAACACAGCAATGATACGGCATACAGGGCTGCAGAGTAAAGGTCTGAGCAGTCCCATGTTAAATTTTTCATTTCAGTTCTGTTTATTCCCTTTATTTTAGCTCTCTGTAGGAAAATTATTTTCTGTATAAACAAATTCATCAAGTTAACTTATTCAAGGATGGAAATAACTGGTATCACATAACATTTTGCAAAACAAAATTGCCACTGTTGTATTCCAGTGCTTAAAAGCAAACTGCTATGGCAATTCAAACCCAGTGCTAACATAACCCAAACCCCCTATTACCTTCATCACTGCATATTCAATTTACATAATTATTCTACTATGCTATTCAGAATTTACATGTAGTTGTATGCACTCTAGTTATCCTTGCTCCAGGGATGCTGTTTCCTTTCTAAACTTAGTAGAACGAGACCACAATGCAACAAATTTATCAGATCAAGAGAAACAATGAGCTTCAACAATATAATGGTCTGGTTTGTTCATTTACTTAAAACCTCAATTCAACTACCATACGCTTGGACAGCCACCCCTGTTTGACTGTCAGCAACAGGGAAATCCAGGAATGTCCTTACCACACTTCATTGTAAAGCAGCAGTGGCCTTATAAGTGGTCGAGTGACCAGGGCTAACAGAGGGGCTGCCAACACTCTTTGTGCCCTGCCCCTCAATGTGGTATCCTAAGTCTTTGGGCCACATTACAGCAGTTCCCTTTTAACCTGTACACCCCTAGGCTCATCAAATGTGTTCCACCCAATTATTTTCACACCACTTAGGGTAAAAATAACTGTTGCCTATAGCAGGCATTGACTGAGACTATTAGTCAAAAGTGGCAGGAACGGGGAAGGTACTAGACACTCTTTTTCAGAGAAAATACACTCTTTTCTTACTACCAGAAGCTTGTGACTCTAGTGCAAAGCCAAAATTCAGATTCAGCAACATCAAACACTTCACTCTGGACAGACTCTGATTCATACTTTAGTGTGGACAGCAAGCCTGTGATGCTTGCCCCGAATGTTTCTCTAGTGGATAAACACAGGGTCTATATCTGTACCAAGAAGACATGGCATGCCTGGGACTGACTAGGTTTCGTGCTCCGAGCTTCAAAGAGTTTCTTACAGTTGCTGGAAAAATTTTAACAAATTTCATTGTTAAATACAGCATGTTAATACCTGCCCCAAAAGACTCTACAAGAGGTAAGGATATGCTAAGTAAGTTTTTAAACATAGGACCAGTCTGATGTACATTCAGAACTTGAAAGGATATACTTGGAAATCCATGACAATATTCAATATAGAGTGTTCTTTTCTTTTCTTTTTTTAATAAATTTTTACTATTAGGTGATAAATATAAACATTAATATGAAAACTAGAATCAGATATATATCTTGATGCTAAGATTAATACTGGTGATGTATTTCCTGAACTCTAGAAAACTTCTTTAGAACACAGATGCCTATGTTTTAGGTTAAAGAAAAAAGATTACATTCCTTTTAAGATTTTTGCTTTGATTTCTTTCTCTTTTAGAGAAATACGCTTATGCTTTCTCCTACCAAAAGCATAATACTTAGATTTAGGTAATTACATATTTTTAAACCACCTCATAAAGTCAAACTAAAATTCTACCCATGTCTTTCTTCCCCACCCTTACATCCCTAACTCTTAAAACAGTACCTGCAAATAATAAGCACTTAATAAAATATTTCTTAAATAAATAAAACAGATTTTATAATATGTTAAGTTTAAAAGAATGTTCACAAGGAGAAAAAAAAAGTGATGGTTTTCAATTAGGAGACCACACACTGAGGCATCACAGAAAATTCACAAGTAAATGCAAATATTAAATTATCTGTAAGACTGAGTTAGTGAATATAATTCAGTTACTTTGGCACCATAAAAAATATTGAGGGCAAAATTTCCTAAATGGCTATGATTCAAACTTTTAAAACACTGCATAATAACGTATTTGGAGTTGTTTAGATTATTTTTAGCAGAAGCTTCAAGTCCAGGTTTGTGCTTTCACTTCAAGGCAACATCTTTCTAGTCACACAATTAATCTCCTCTGTTTGTGTACCTGGGCATGCACACATAGAGCAGCAATCTCAAAAAGGTCACAGAAAATGCAGAATTGACTGTGTGTGCATGCACAGGTGTGTGTTTACACGTGCACATGAGGGTATGGAGTGGAGAGTGTTTTCTAAAGGAGTTTGCAAACAGATTCAGATTAACCAAGGCTGACCATAGTTCCATCTGGAAACTATATTTTCTAACATGAGCCACATTCTGAAAAACAGATTCAGATGTCTGGAACTGGTTCAGAACAGTTGTAAGAAACATTCAGTACAAATGAAAAAATTAGTCTTCAATGTCTTCTCCTCTCAGCTTTTCTTACTGAATAAAAATGCTTCTTTGTTGGGGGGCAGTCAGAGAATTGATGTGGGGGAGTATGGGGTGAAAGAGGGTCTTCCCTAGAACCTAAAATTCATGTTACTCTTGAACACATATCCAATGGACAAGTACTATTTGATTTCTTTTGCACTGCTCACCAGGATTCCAATCCTGCTCCTGGAAGTCTTACGCTGCCAACAATCCTGGTTCAACCTCTGGGAAGAAGGGCTGGAATGCTTAGTGAAATATAGTGACCTTTCTTCTATGATCCTTCCTGTCCAGTTTGATATCATCACTGAAAATGAGGTTGCTGGTCTATTCTTACACATAATTATACTGCTGACTTCATTCCATTTGCTAAATAATAAGTCTTCACAAAAACATAAAAAATTTATTTTTAATTTTTATCCAGTAAAGTCTGTAAATCAAGAGTTCATAATAATTAAGTCCTAACTTTCAGAATGCATAAAAGCCTTGGCTTTTTAGTTTGGATATTAGAGAAAGCAGCTGAATAATGACAAAAATCAATGTGTCCCTTCCCACCCCCCATTTCATAGGCTGTAACTACTTGGTTCTTATTTCTGTACTATCAATGTTTTGTGGTCGTTGCTTCTGCCCACAGCCTACCTTGACTTTTTGCTGGATTTAGGTTTTGGCGTGGCAGTTTTTGCTTTCTTTTCCTTTGGCTCTTTGGGAATCTTAGGGGCTTTCGGGGTCTTGGGTTCCTTGGGCTCTTTTTTCTCCTTGGGTTCTTTCGGTTCCTTCGGATCTTTTTTTGCCTTTGACCTTTTCTTTTTCTTTTTTTCTTCTTGGGACCCATCCAGTGAGTTCCTATTTAGTTCTTGGTTATCTACCCCACCAGGGAAGTCATCTTTACCAAAACCTTTACTGGGATCCTCTGCTACAATGTGGTTGTTTTTCTTTTTCTTCTTCTTTTGTTGTGGCTGCTGTTCTATTGACGGCAGGTAATCATCACTCTTCACTAGCTGAGCATTCGGTCCACTAACCTGAGTCATATCCGGCACTGGTTTCTCTAGAAAGGGCTCCGATGGCGAATGCTAAGAGACACAAATAAGAATTGAAGTTAGTTTCATTCTTCATAGTAAAGAACTGAAAGTTAAGTGGCTGATGCTCCTGAAACTTATTCTATACTCAAGTAGCAAATTTTTTTCCAACTATACAGCTGTAGAATCTATCATCTTCTCTCATCCAAAAAATAGTGTGTTTATTTAAGAGACAATCTTTTAAACAAGAAAGTTTTAAAATATCACTTTAGTTAATACAGTAAAAAAAAAAATCAGTTCAGGAAGTAAAAATTCATTCAACTGAAGACATTGTCTGTTTTTTAAACAGCCTACATGAAAATGGTGAATGGCAAAACAGTAGCAAAGCTAAGCCACAAAGAATAAATCTAAGTGGAGTTCTAGCCCCATATGAGAATGGAAACTCAAATTAAAGGTATATAATTTAGCCATTTTTAAAAAGAACAAGTATACTGAACATTGCAAGATTCTAGTACTGTGAAAGTCTGAAATAAAAGTGTAAACATAACACGTAAATCTTACACAATACAACTCATTTCTGGTTTAAATGACATTAAAATATCAAATTAAAAGCATATACCAACACTTAATGATTTTGGATTGGTTAAATCTCTTGCATTAACATGAAAGGTGGACAATGTTTTTCTTAAACCTCTTTAACCTTCATATTTCGAAATTTCACCAAGGAAGAAAGAACCCAATTAGATTAATGTGACATGCCTTGTAGGAGATTCTTGACATTCACTTGGGATTCACCCAGAGACTGTCTTCAATAGAGTAGAAAAATACCCACATTTGGGATGGGATTCTGAATGGTCAGTCAAGATCAGAGGAGGTGACTCCTGCACATGACAGCCTCCCTCATGGCTTACCATCCAAACCCGGGCAGGGCTGGCTGGATTATCATCTATACCGTGAATTATGACATCTAATGAACCTTTACATTTCAACAAAATACTTGAAAATGTTAAATCTACATATGTCTCTCATTTCCTGTCTTTTTCATATGCTGCTTCTGGCATGTAACACTAACTGTAATATAAACGATCTACTATGTGCCAGGCATATGCTTTACACCCATGGTACCATTCAATCCTCACACCAGCCCTAAGCGTTAGGTGATTTTCAAATTTTATAGTTGAAGACACTGCCACTCTAAGATGAAGTAACTTGCCCAAGAAGGTACAGATTTATTAAGTGACAGAACTAAGACTGACATCAAAGCCAATAGCTCCAGAGTTCTTACTCCTCAGCACTCAACCTACAGAAGAGGAGAAGGCAGGTGAGCCCAGGCTCACATCTGCAGAGCTTCGTGACTAATGTACATGCCAAAGCTTACTAGGAGCAAAGGAGGAAGATTAGAATAAAACATTAAAATATAGATACTGTACATTCGATTCCAAGACACCTAATATTTATTGAGCAGCTATTTGATGCCATGTACCAAGCTAGGTTATATTAGCTAGATGTGTTAATTCACCCGAATCTCACAACAAAAAAGTGATAATTTACCCCCATCTTTCAGAAAAGAAAAGTCCAAGAAGGTGATGTGGCCACCCCAAGCCACACAGTTAGTGACGGAGCTAACATTTGAATCTAGTTTTCTAAATCTAGTGCTCTCTGATTCTGTCCACCTCTTCCTAACATCTTCTACACAGTCTTTCTGGGAAAGACTCCACAGGTTTCACTCAATTTCTGAAGTGTCTAGTGACCCGAAAAACATTTAAAAAAAAAAAAAAATCACTGCCTAAAAAGGAGGTGGTTACACTGTTCTCACTAAAACCTGCCACGTTTACTACAGAAACCTCCTTTCCCCCACCCTTTGAGATGAAGTTTCGCTCCTGTTGCCCAGGCTGGAGTGCAATGGCACGATCTCGGCTCACCGCAACCTCCACCTCCTGGGTTCAAGCAATTCTTCTGCCTCAGCCTCCCGAGTAGCTGGGATTAGAGGCATGCACCACTATGCCTGGCTTATTTTGTATTTTTAGTAGAGTCGGGGTTTCTCCATGTAGGTCAGGCTGGTCTCGAGCTCCCGATCTCAGGTGATCTGCCGGCCTCTGCCTCCCAAAGTGCTGGGTTTACAGGCATGAGCCACCGCGCCCTGCCTGAAAACCTACAATTAATTCTCTAGCTGCACTGGTGTAAGAGAAAGAGCCCAGAGCTCTGAGTTAAGAGATTAAAATTCAAGTCCAGGCCCTACCATTAGCCATGTATCATCTGGGAAAAATCACTTCACCTATCTGGGGTTCAGTTTCTTTTTCTGCAAAATGAAGGTTTTGGGTTAGGTGACTTCAGCCTCTCTCTAAGAAATAAAGTTTATAAAAAATAAAATTTACCTAAGTATCAATGGAACCTGATTTAACTGTTTTACATTTAGTTTGCAGAAGTCAAATTAGTTTGTACATATTATTTCCTAATTTTTTAGGAAATAATGTGATTTCCAAAGTTTCTTCCAGAATCCCATGGCATTTTTAAAAATTTTAAAACACGTATTGCCCTTTCCTGGCCATAGCTAAGGGAGAATGAGGCTGAAAAAAGAGCAACGATATATAGGAAAACACAGAAGCAAGGTTAAAGTTTGAAGAACACACAGATGTAGATGTACATGAGCAGATTTCCATGCAGGGATAACACAGTTAACTAAACACTACCAAAGTTACCCTCGGCCCCTCTACCCTTTCCTCACAAACACTCTTACACATTAACAAAGGCACTGTCTAAATTATCATTACCTAAGTATCAATGGGACCTGATTTAGCTGTTTTCTATTTAGTTTACGTAAGTTAAATTAGTTTGTACATATTATTACCTAATGTAATTAAAAAGGAAAAAAGCCCTATCTTTTTTGCACAGGGCACAGAGATCAAACTTATTTGGGACGAGCTATTTTTCAGGAAATGAAAGAAAAAGTTGTTCCTGGAAAGACAGGGAAAGAGCAAAGTCTAAACAATGATTAAAACTTAGAATGGAGAATTAATACCAGGTATGTTTACCCTTCTTTAATCTACATGGCATTCGCTCCAGTAACAAAACACCAGCTTCTAATGAGATTCCCTGGTACACATTTATGAATTAGAAAAAGCATAAAACACATAACACAAAAAAGATTTAAAATCTATCTACACACTTTGGCATACAAATCATGTTAGATGCTCCTTTTAGTAATAAATGAAGCCATAAATTAGTAACTCGGTAAAAAATTTAATCTTGCATAAGGAGGAAAAAAGTGAAGCTAAAATACAAAAAAGTATTAATTCTGTTTGATATGCAGCAGAATTATGTTTTAGTACTATCTAAAATAGGGTGAAAAAGGTGCTCAGAAATATAGTGTTTACCAGACCCACATCTCCTTAAATCTTTTAGAGAAAAGCTGTTTTTGTAAACATTTAACAAAGAACAGATGGCCTGCCTTAATCATGTGGGGAAAAAAACCTGGAGCTCCCAGTAATACCCTGACAAAGTCTCCCAGGCCCAGCCATGCACCCCCCATACCCCCCACTCCACCAGATGCATGGTACAGTCTTCTCTAATGCTATTTAATTTTACAGCAGACATTTTCCCATCAATTCCCACTGCCTGACAGGTAATCAATGCCATTAACATCTGATATTACCATATAGGGCATTCCTAAAACCTCTCACTTATTAGAGCAAACATGGAGAATTAGATACCAAAGGTATTTTTAAATAACATCCTGTCAAACTTTCTGTTTGACATATATCCTATTATAATTCCTTATGCCATTTGGAACATTATGAAATATATAAAGACTGCCATGAACTTTTGGAACTTAAACAGCATAACTGATACTTAAACTACAAATCAAAACAAACCAAGGTATGTGTGTTTTGTTGAAAAAAATTACTACAAGCTAAAGACAATTGTCCTTTTCCTTAACTCCATTGTCCATAACATACAAATTAGAAATGACATACAACTAAGTTATCATATATAAAACAGCAGGATGGACAAGACGCAAATTTAACCAAAGGAGACCTGAGGGGGGAAGTGGGAGCTTCCCTCTGCTTCTTTTAAGCACAGGAGAATCATCAAAGAAAATGAAAAGATATGTAAAAAAGAAACTTTTTATTTATTTCAATGTGCTTTTCTTCCACAACTCATCAGCATTTTCTGGCTTAAAAAGCTATCTAATTTGATCATGTTTTGTCTTAATTATATTGCTGAAGCCTCAGCCTGTTAGCAATTTTGAGTATAGCATGAGCGAATGATGCAATGTTAAAGTGTGTGCAATGCTTCCAACATGTATGATCTCTGCAAAGCAACATTTTGTAATACAGGGCACTGAAGGACAGATATTTTATTTATAGACAAACGTATTTACATGTTTGTTTACATACAAACAAGCCTAAATCAAAATAATGCTTAATAAAAAAGAAAAGATGGTACCAAGCAGACCAGAATAGCATGGTATTTATGGAAACAAAAGCCTCCCCACAAATTAAGCTAAAGGGAGGCAATGAGGAGGAGGCACTTGTGCTCTCAGAGAAAATAAGATTCTGGTGAAGAAGAGGCAGGCCAATTATGACCCACATAACAACGAATACAAGCTTTAAGAACACTAAACTATTGCTTAAATGGCTCATGAAAATACAAATATCAAGTAGTCATTTAAGATTGAAACGTACTATTTGGTATCTTAAAAATGGCTTTGGAGACATATTTCTATTACAGACATTCTTAACTTTTATTTTTTCCGGTATTCCCCAGGTTCTTGACCCCTCTACACTCTTCAAAAAAGGAATTCTGGTATGAAGACTGAAGCTCGATCTTCAGCCAGAAGAATGTGCAATGATTCAAAAGAGCATTTAGCAAAGGTTCAGTAAGTCCTATTGAGACTGTAACAATGACACTGATAAGAATGAAAATGCATTTGGTATCAAGTGCCCAATTCACAGTAAACAAGGCAGCCACAGTACCTGCCGGGAAAGAGTACACAGCACCTTACTGAGGCTGAGACCAGAGAGGTTTTCTGAAAACTGTCCCAGGCTGAGAGA